CTGTGGTTCAAGCAGCTAAGGCGCCAGCCACATACACCTGAGCTGGTGGGTTCGAATCCAGCCCGGGCCTGCCAAACAACAATGATGGCTGCAACCAAAAAATAGCTGGGTGTTGTGGTGGGCGCCTGTAGTCCCAGCTACTAGGGAGGCTGAGGCAAGAGAATCACTTAAGCCCAAGAGTTTAAGGTTGTTGTGAGCTGTGATGCTGTGATACTACTGCACTCTATCAAGGGCAACATAGTAAGACTGCCTCAAAAAAAAAAGAAAAGACTTTTGGAAATGTGCCTTCCTCAGTAACTCATACCTCTTCCTCCACCCCTCCCCCAAAGAACTGCCTATTCTGCAGACACGTGTTTATTTAATCACCTAGCAGGATAATTTCTTAACCAGAAATTAAATCCAAGTAAAATGTAAATAAGTAAATAAATAGAATCCAAGTATTGTGTTCATTCAAAATGGAAACTGTAAAATGGCACTCTAATCCACACATATTTAGATAAATGCAATTTAGAACAGTAAAATATGGTTTTGGACTAATAGACTGAAAACAGTTTCAGTAATGGAAAATACCCAGCATTGATGTGGATGTAAGGAAACAGAACTCTACTGGTTGAAATATAAATTGATATATTTCAGTTGAATAATTTGGTAGCATCTATCTTAAAGTATTAGTATTTATGCAAATACCTGGTTATTTCTTACCCCCAATTCCACTTTCAGGTTCTATACTATAGAAAACAAAATAGCACACATACTTGATGATGTATATACAAGGTTTTTACCACAGTACTGTTAAACAGAAAGTTGAAAAAAGCTCAAATCTCCATAATAAAGAATAACTAGTAAACCATATTAGAGCTACATCATGGCCAGGCCATTATGTGCCAGGCAGCCACCAAGATGATGACCTGCTATGTTAAACTAAAACATACAACTAACCGAACAGACATATGATTGCATGATCAGAATATCTGATCACAGAGAGAGTACACATATTGTTAGACTACTTACAATATCCGAAATAATTTGTCAAGATTTCTCATAACGTCACGTTAAAACTACCTACTTATAAGTATATTTAGAGTAAAATTCTTTAAAGAGTGTATTCCTGAAGGGCCAGAGGGCCTATCTGCCTCTGTTGACGCTAACAAGAGAAACTTCATTAAGTCAGGAATACAGATTTGAATGGTGTGAGAGAACCAATTAAAAATGCTACATTATGTCACTCACAAACTTCTTGTTTTCGGAATGCCTTTGGCTTTCATTAGTATTTGCATCATAATCAAAGGGGTTTTATAAGGAGAGGATTATAATGTGTTTAGCTAGTAATAAAAAGTAATGAAAGGTAGTTTTCTATGAGGAATAGTTTTCCTAAACGGATGGATAATTTGTATCTGTATTTACTCTACTTCTTGGTGAACTTTTAGACACAGGCTGTCGGGATCACTAGCGCAAATCAATGCTCTATGTGGAGAGTAAACATGGAACCGCCTCACGCGGTTTGCATGATGTTCCACAGCTGCAGGTGAGTTTCTGGCCACCTCCTCTCTGCTTTCTTTTACCATCAAACTTCTCTAAAGAGTGGTGACTATTCCCTTGCCTCACTTCCTTTCCTCTCATTTATTCAGTTCACTGCCATTTGATCTCCACTGTCCAACTCTGCCTTTCAAAGAGAGACATGATCAGAACTCAAACCAAGTGCCCAGAGATGGGGGACTGGTTACTGAGTGACCAAGGTTGGCACAGAGGATCCAAAGGGATGGATTTGAGAGAAAACTGAGATGCAGACTTGGGGAAGGCAGAGTTTGGAGCCATGAAAACAAGACAAAGAGAGAAGCAAATCAGACGAGGGGCTGGGGGAGAAGCCAGTGCTGGTCAGGCAGCCTCTCCCTCTCACCCGGAATTCATTCTTTAACGGATACGGAAGGATTCGTACTATTTCTTCTTAGTTTTGGTAAGTTGCATTTTTCAAGAAACTGGCCCATTTTTGTCTAAATCATTGGCTTTACTGACATAGTTCATAACATTCTCTTACTATCTTTTCAGGGTCTGTAGCATCTGTAGTGATGTCACCTCTTTTATTCCTGATACTAGCAATTTGTCTTCTTTTTTCTTTGTCAATTTGGCTGGAAGTATCAATTTTATTAGTCTCATCTCTGCCTGTTTAAGTTGAGAAACGTAATGGCTTCTTTCTTTTATCCACAAATGGTCTGATTTCCCTGCATCTTCCGCCCACTTCAAGAGTCTTTGTTATCTAACACTCTCCTCATCTTCTCTTCTGGTTTTCTTTCTTACTATGTCATTTTCATCTTTCAAAATTCTGCCCTGCTCCTTTGCTTTTCCACTTTAAAATCTCTTCCTCAATAAGAGAAGCTGTTGATTCATAACCTGCATCTCAATCTGGCTTCACTCTTGATTTCTATTTGCAATTCTCTCTTGTTCATCTAAATCTGTTATTTTTATTTCAGCTAATGATCTCACCATTACCCCTAAAAACCTTGAGTCACCCACTAACTCATTCTGATCCTTCAGTTTCTCCATCTAACTGGTAACCAAGTGCCACTTTCCCTCTGAAACATCTCTCTGCATCTGTACACCTGCCCTGATCCTTCCCCCACCTGGATCTCTATGACCTATCACTGCCAGAATTCCCACCTGTATTAATTCTTGGCCACACTAAACTGTTCTGTGCTCCTGCCATGTAAGCCACTGACCATATGAAGATCAGAGGTATTTTTTCAATATACAGCCCGAAATTTGCTTTTCTTCTCAGTACTCCCTGCTGGCTCCAGGATCAAGCCAGTTTTGCCTCTGCTGTCCAGTAGTCTGCTCTTCCTCCCCACACCTGGAAAGGTGGACACACCTGTCTACCTGCCTGTGAACGGTCCTTCCAGAAGCTTTCCTCCTTTCCTGCCTTTCCCCATCTTGCCCCTCGACTGAATTCTGACTCATCCTTCCCAGTGAGGTTTGGAGGTCACTACTGGGAAGACTTTTTTATTTTAAATTGCTTTTTCTTTGAGGCTTGATAACATACAGTACACAGACTTTGCGCGTTTGATGAGTCTGGACAACTGCACACCCTCCGTGCACAGTCCGAGCATTGCCGTCAGCCTGGAACCCGTCTCACTCCACCCCCGCCACAGGCGACCGCTGATCTGAGTCCCACCTCTGCAGATTCGTTTCGCCAGTTGGTAGATCACAAACGTGTAATCCACAGAACTGTGCACATCTTTTGCTTTTATGTCTGCCTTCAGCATAAACCTCCTGAGATTAATTCATGATGTGTTTATATAAATAGTTCATTCTGCTAAGTTGCTGAGCAATGTCCATTGCATGATTTACCAGGGTTCGTGAGTGTAAAAGCATTTACTCACTGAGGGATATTTAGAGGCGTGTTGGGGGCACAGGGAGGTTATGATGAAGTTGTCTTCATCTGTCCCTGTACTTCCCTCTTCTAAGCTACACACACTATAGTTTATTGTAGGTGGGTCTCTCTCCCTCACTTAACTCTAAGCCCCTATGTAATTACAGGCAGTCTCTGAGTTACAAACATCCCACTTACATACAACTCTCACTTACAAATGAAGGGTATTACAGTTAATAAGTAAATATACCTATTCCAACTTACATACAAATTCAACTTAAGAGCAAACCTACAAATCCTATTTTGTTTGTATCCTGGAACTGCCTGTACAATGTTGAATCTCTCTAAGGCACTTCCATGTGACAGGAAGTGCTTGACTTTCATGAGCCGATCACTACAACAATCCCATCCCTAGACAATGAGCTTACCCCACTCACAGAGAGGAAACTGAGCCCTGCAGAGCTCCAGTTCCTTCTGTAAGTTAACCCATCTGGTGAGTAGTACAACCAAGATCAGAATCTAGCTTGATCAGATGCCAGCATTGAGGACTCTTAACAATGATGCTATCATACCACACTCCTAGTCTTACTTTTTAAAAATTTAAATTCAGTACTTTTCTAGAGAAAAGAACTAAAGAACTTTAACATTCATCAAATAAACCAAGCAAATCATCCTCCCAAAATGATTCCATAATGCACTCTTATTTCCAAACAGCCATTCTATTTTGCTCACAATTTTGTGAGCCAGAACTCTGCCAGGGCTCAGCTGGGCAGTGCTCACTCAGGGTGTTCCCTGTGACTGCTGTCAGGCAGCGGCTGTCCAGATATATGGGCTGGACATCTACTGTGCTCACTTGCACAGCCAGCAGTCGACGCTAGGTCAGTGGGAGCCTGCCGGGGCTGCCGACCCTTGTGTTGACATGAGGCCTGTGCAGACTTCTTAAACATGGCTGACTTCCTTCAGAGCAAGTATCCGGACAGAACCAGACAGAAACTTCCCAGCCAGCCTCCCAAGGCCCAGAGACTCTTTCTGCACACTCTGCTGGCTGAAGCAGTCACATCCGCCCAGCTTCTCACAGAGGAGAAGCAGACCCCATGGGTTAATGAGATGAATGGCAAGGTCGCAGGCAGAAGCCCACGAGGGGGGAAATGACGTGGTGGCTGTCTCTGGAAAACACAGTCACAGCCAGCTCTTTAAGATTGCTGGACACGGGGCATGTCACGCGGGGCACATCACTGTAAAGACCCTCCACTTGGAAAACTCCTCCCTGGGGTCAATAGCATCTTCCTTTACTGAATGTCAGAAAATGGGTGGGTTTTACTGGGAAAACTGAACAGACAGATTAATTTTTAAGTTTGTTTTATTGGACAGTTATTCTGTTACAGAACCGATGATGGTGTATTTTCAGAAAGCCCCAAACAGTAAATGTGTAACTTCACAGCCACATAGAACCAAATGAGTATCAGCAGATAGTTCTGTAATTATGTCATTAAGGGGAATCAGAAACCTCTCCAAATGAAGTAACGCTGACATTTAATCCCAGCTGTTCTCACTTAGCATTGGTCATTTCAAGACTCTTGTTATAGTGACTGTCCAAGTGAAGCGTAGGCTATACAAGGCACTATTTCAACTCTACCTGGCTCTGCGAATGTACAGCTGAGGGTAGTGACTGTGCCTGTGACACACATACACGGTGAAGTCCTCTGAGTACGTCAGACATGGAACACTCCCCACTTGGTCAAAAACAGTTATGAGGGTTGAGCCTAAATCACAGAAACAAAGAAACATGTCCTCATTTGCCAAGGAATAACTTTGGGGTTTCAGAACAAATTATAGTTTCCATTCTCAATTGTGTTTTAATTGTTATAATCAAAAATGGACATGGTGCATTTAGGACTTGGAGACCCTTGTGAGCACGAGTCCCCTGTGCTCATGACCTACCAATGCTCATGTAGGACGGCACTGTGAGGAAGATGAAGTGCAGCTCCGGCACTGCCTTAAACACGCTTCTGGCAAGGAAAGACAGGGGAGCCACGTGTTAATGATGGAGCAACCTTTATGCAGATAAAGCTATCACTAAAAAAGTGGGGGTGCTCATCTAGCCACGTGGGCTCCTTTGCACCCAGCCTGCAAAGGAAATTTTTTTTCTTGTCTACTTTTCCTTGGATTCCAGAGGGCCCCTTTTTTATCTGCCCGATGGAGGCAGAGAAAATAAAGGGTGCCACGTTCATATGGCACACCAGATTTCTGCCGATATTAACCTCTGACCTGGCATCTGGATAGTCTGGTGTGACATTACAAAGTGACTTGAAAGCTGAGGCCACCCCCCCCCGCAAATGTCTGTGCAGGCTGTCAAAGATGGGTCCCATGACTCAGCAGCTCTGCCGCCCTTATCTCTGTGTGCCCTGCTACTCAGGATGCTTCTCAAGATACGATGGAGGAGAACTACTACTCTCTTCCTACTCTCCCCCATCCATTTTTTTCTTTCCTTTTTTTTTTAGAGACAGGGTCTTGCTATGTTGCCCGGCCTGGCCTCAAACTTCTGGCCTCAAGTAATCCTCCTGCCTCAGCTTCCCAAGTAGCTAAGACCAGCTACCTGGCCTCAAGCCTGGCACCACGCCTGGCCTCAAATCTGTTGCTTTAAATGACTCTGCTACTCATTTGCCTCAGATGATAACAGTTAAAGATGTTTGCGAAATGGAAAGTAGAGGCAAAGAATTATTTTCTTTCAGAAATATCATTGCTATTCAAAAAAATAGAGGTAAACTGCAAGCAAATTAAATGGTGCAAAGAATTTCTCTTTTTTTAAAATACCTTTTTTTTTTTTTTTTGAGACAGAGCCTCAAGCTATCCCCCTGGGTAGAGTGCCATGGCATCACAGCTCACAGCAACCTCCAACTCCCGGGCTCAAGCGAGTCTCCTGCCTCAGCCTCCCAAGTAGCTGGGACCACAGCCACCTGCCACAACACCCGGCTATTTTTTGGTTGCAGCCGTCATTGTTGTTTTGGCGGCCCGGGCTGGATTCAAACCCACCACCTTAGGTGTATGTGGCAGGCACTAAGCCTAAAATATCTTTCAAAAATTTCTACATGGTCTCCTTCATGTTCACCGTCTGTAAGGCCCCATCTACTCACCGAATAATCTCTTTGCAGCAGCCGGTGGAATACTCATCCACAGCCACAAAGAGGTGCATAAACAACGTATTCAGAGGCTGAAGAAGAGAGAAGGATTAAAGGCGGGGTCAGCGTTTGCGCAAGGTTGGAGCAGCCTGGGAGGAGGGCTTCAGGGGATCCACAAACACTGCTGCCTGCCACTCAGAGATGGTATTTTGTGTCTAAGGACGAGACACCCAGGTGGCCTGTGAGCTGTCTCACTGGCTCTGTTTGCTGCCTTCTGTCCTCCTAGCTCAGAATTATTCAAGGAAACAGGGATCATAAACCAGGCAGAGCGCCTGCCCTTCCTCCTGCCCTCACGAATGAGCTGTGGGCAGGGAAGAGCCTGCAGGGGAGTGAAATCGATTATTAACTCAGTAGTCTCATCCTCAGGGGTGTCCATGCCAAGTGAAAGACAATCACCCTTTCCCCGGGGCTCTTGTGTCAGCAGCTGCTGCTCTATTCATGTGACAAGAGGGAAAGATTCTCTTATGAATCTGAAGGGTGGAAGGCAGATGCCACGTTATGAATCCAATGGCTTGTTTTGTTCAACATTCCCAGAGTCAGAATCAAATATTACTCTTGGGATCCAGAAAACCTGGGAGCTGAAAACTCAAAGCAGTGAGATTCAAATATGAGTTTTAGGTCAAATCTTCCAAGTTTTTAAAGAGCTTTGTCCCATAGTTTTGCAGACTTTTTAAGTGGCTTAAATAACAAATAGTGGTTCTATACATCTCCACTCTGAGCTGCTCAACTCAGTACCCCTTTGTGCAGAGGTGAGGTTGTTGACTGCACCCAAATCAAGACAGCAGGGTCCTGCCTGCGTTTCTTTTTATCTGAGTTATTTTCTAGGCAGCTTTGGGTGACCAACTGCACACTCGTCTCCTCTTGAGTCAGATAGTGTGTGACTCAGAAGTGCTTAGCAGGAAATGTACTGTGCAAAAAAGGGGCAAGAGACAAGTCATGAGCTTGGAACTCCCAAAAGGCAAACACAAACCTTATAAAGTCCTGAGGACAATGATGATGACACACTTTTAAGTACTTGCTATGTATTAGCTCATTTAAGCCTACAATCATCTTATTCAGCATCTGCCTTATATTCTGAATAGGACTAGCCTTAGGAACATATGGTTTATTACTTGCTTGATTTGTCTCCCAAATTCTCTCCTCTATTGGAAATATAATTCAAAATTTTTTCTTTAGCTTTATAAAAATCATTGCTTCACCTGCAAATATCCCAGGATAGGTAGTACTCTAAACCTTAAGGCTCTTACTAGAACTATCCAATAGAAAAATAATTCAAGCCACACACATAATTTAAAATTTCCTAGTGGGCACATTAAGAAAGGGTAAAATTAATTTTTGATATATTTTATTTAAACTAATATAATCAAATTATTATCATTTAACAAATAACCAGTATAAAATTGTTAATGAGATATTTTACAATCTTTTATTTTCCTGCTGGTGCATATTTTATACTTACAGCACATCTCAATTCACATAACTACAGACCAAGTGCTCAACAGCTACCGATGGCTAATGGCTACCATATTGAACAGCCCAACTCCATACTGTCATTGGAAATAGCTCAAAAGAAAACAATCTCAAGAGAACAAGAAATGAGTTCATGAATAAGAGTGTTAATTTATTATATTCAAAAGGCAAAATCATAACCCTAATGCAAATACGAAATGAACATGTGCCAGAGATTCATTCAACTCCAACTCATCAATTAATGAGATGACAAAATCAATTCCCTATACTTGAAGAGCTGGATGGTTCTGGAGATTTAATAAGGGGATATAAGAATAATATTGTTGGGTTAAACACAAAATGGTTAAAGTCCTAGAAGGCCATAAACCGTAACCCGTGAAGCAAGCTCTTTCACCAGATGGGAATTATTTACATCCAAATGGATAAAAGTCTACCAGTGAACTGCTGTCCCCACAGAACGGCCACGTAGCTGCTCAGGAGAAGGTAAGAGGCACAAGCACTGGACTGAGGAATATTTTTGGCCTATTTCTGAGTTTGGTATAATTTTTCTGCCAATGAAGTTGGGTGTGGGGTGGCAGGGGTAGAAAGGAGCACAAAAGACAATTTGCTTAGGGGGTGTGTGCGCGCCCACATAGGCACAGTGGGAGGGTGAATTCACTCATCTGGCCTTCCATCCTCTGACATCAGGGCTCTGGGGACAGGATGCTGAATTCCACCAACCGACAAGAACACTAGTCAAGAGTTGCAGCCCCTGGCACTCAGCAGAAACTGGGACCAGTTCCTGGCCTGGCTCCGGCAGGCCACATGCAGGCAGAGCTCTGGCTTGGCATCAGGTTCCCAGGCCGGACTCCGGGGAACTACTAACCTGCTCCTGTTAGCCTGGGCCCAACAGGTTGTCAAGTGCCTTCAGCTGGAAGACATCAAATGAGCCAAAATCTGTGAGGGCACTTTGAAAGTCATAGAATGTGGCTAAGTCTGAGGCTCTGTCGTCCTTATTACAAGGGCAAATGTGTAGATGACAGGTGCCCTCCTAGCATATCAAAGACCTCGGACACGGAAGCCTGGGGAACAACATGAAACACGGAGCACACGTCTGACACTGCCACTGCTTCCTACCCTCGGCCCTCATTAGGGAGCGTGATCTGGCCCTTGCCAGCGGCAGACTGATTTGGCTACTGCCCACCCTTCCCTTTCCCCTCTGGCCTTACTCTCAGCCCTCCTGTCCTCCCCTCCCCACCAGCTAACCCCAGCTTTAACTGTCATGATGTCAGACACTTTTGGTAAGAGTTTTGGACTGCTCAGTGCCAAGTCTGCAAAGATATAATTCCAAGACTTCCCTTCAAAATTCAGGCTGTTGTGGTAAGCTCTGTGCAGGGTTTCTTACCGTGCATGGGAGATCGCTGTCGAGCTCCCGGAACACTGACACCCAGTCGTCCTGCTTGGCAACATTCCAGTTGGGATAGTCCAGGAAGGTGCCCTGAGCCATGATCTCCTCCTTGTCATTGCAGAGAGTTATGGCAAGGTTTGCCTTTTCTCTGTGAAAAGTGATTAGAATCGCAACCGTGAATAAAATTACCAAAAGTGAGATAAGAACGTGCAGTTTTCTCCTCCCTTTGGCTACTGGAATACGATGTCTGATAATCTGCGGTCGGGAATGATGTTCAGCAACTTTGGGAGTGGATTTCTCAGGACAACCAGTGCTATCAATGAAGTTTTCATTTTAAATCACGTTTCCCAGGAAGGTCCTATACCCCTGACGGTAAGCGTCTAGTACTCTTCCCCAGGAGACTGGCGGGGGAAAGACTGGACTGCACAGTTTCCCCCATTTGCTCCGTTGTCAATACCACTGTGTCAGCCTGAACATACCTAGTGAGAGTGGCCGAAAGTCTGTCTGTGCCCAGGACGGAGTGAGATACACAGGATATAGGACTATCAGTGCTTAAAAAAGAAAAAGGCATTTCCTGGACAAACTGGGATGAATGGCACCTGTGCAGTGCCACAACTCTAAGAGTATAGCTGCCCTGCCCTGAGCCCTAGGTCGCTGAGCTAACTGATTCATACAGAGCCTCAGCATCTGAGATACCACCTGATCCATCTGCAGGAGTGGAGACTCAGAGGGGTCATGCATAAGCTAAGGCAACCCAGCGAGTTCACAAAAACCTGGGAGGAGAGGCAGGCCAGCCAACTCTCACTCCAGAGGTTGTCGCAGAGGGACGGCATTGATGATCCACCAGCAGCTACTCTGTCCCATCCAGACAGTAAGAGCCATCACGTAGAGATGCACACCATTTACTACACGAAAGGCCATTCGTGCATAAACTTAAACAAAGTCTTCACTTTTTCAGCAACATGTATTCTATTGCTTATCATTAAGTTGGAGGAAAAATGATTGAAATATTCTTTCAAAAAATGATGCAGGAGTTGCCCCATTTTCCTTCTTGAGCAGAATAAGGCAGAAGAAAACATAACTGATGGAGGAGGGGAGAGATGGTGGGGAAAACAATAAAAGGGAAACATTGTCAGTGAGGCAAAAACGAGAAAATACAAGCAAGAGAGAAAAAAAAAATAGAATACCCGCCTTTAATACCCCCACCCACAGATGACCAACACTTTGGTTTCTATGTCTCCAGATTTCTCTGCTGTTGAGGGTGACTTCGTGTTAAAATGCACTTTGTGTGTTTTTAAACGACGGAACCACACAGACCATGCTATTTGTAGCTGCTTTTCCCCACTTGACGGTCTATCATTTTATTAGTGCAGGTCACCAAATAGCAGTCTCTCACATACATGCACTTCTCAAATTTCATTTTTTATTCTCTAAATCAATTCAATTTTGGCTTAAAGAATATTTTAATAAGAAATGGAAAACCAGTATCCCTTGCTATAAATAAAAGGTAAGTGTAAAAATAAAGATACAACATTTAAAACAAAAATTTTTCATCATGTATCAGGAAAGAGCAACCTGAGCATTGGTATGGCACCAGATATACCAGCACCTTTGGGAAATGGGGTGCTCAGGACATCAGTCTCAGTGCCCACGGCCACTTACTGTCCCCTCTCACAGAAAGTTATAGGCAGCCATGTCTGATCACACCCACAGCCCCAGGAGGATGAGCCAGGGGTGCACTTGGCCCAAGGGTCCTGCCCAAGCACTGGCTATCAATGAAAGGAGGAGCAGATTGTCCCCCTGGTTTCTAGACACACAGGGGACCCTTTAGCAGGAGGGTGTAGCCCTACAAATTGTCACTGAAGCCCTTGACTCTCTCTCACCCTGAGACAGCTTCCTCCAGCTTTTGGGCTCCTGGGACTCTCTGCTGAGAGTTCTCCCTCTAATTCAGATGAGAAGGTGCCCATGGCACAAGATCCCATGCATGCAAGCTCTGATGACAGTGCTAGGAGGACGAGACAGGCAGAAACTAGTGACAGGCAGCCACCAAGTCTTCAGGAAAGCACATGACAATGTGTTCCTAGAATCCCAATTCAAACTTGGAATGCATTTGTCCATGGGAACCTTAGGATGGAGGTTGGGGTCTACAGTGCTATTAGCATAGTACTATACTGGACAGACACTGCAGATTAAATAACTTCTGTGGGCTGGCCTGGGAAGCCAGCCATGAATTACTTTGTTTCAGTGGGAAAACAGACTACGATTTCCAAATAGCTGATTGTAAAAATTAACTTCTGTGGCATTATCCTTTTGTGTATTTACTTTCTACTCCTTATCACCTCTTAGCCATTTGGTTCTCTAAAGGACAGATAAAAATCATGGAGGGAGAAGGAGGGAGAGATGGGGAAGAAAACCTCAGAAAGAAGACATATTTTAAAACTTGGATTTTAAACTGTTCAGAGTAAGAAGTCAAGTCCAAACTAAAAGAACCCTACTAATACAAATGTTTCATACACAATAGAAATTATAGATCTTTTCATTACAGTAATTTCTCATTTATTCATCTGGGTTAGGAAGTTTTCCAAATACAACCAAAACTTATTTTCTGTAACTATACTTGATGGAAATATTGGTGAAATAATATCCCCCTTTTTGCTTAGTTTAACCAAAGAAGAGGAGCCCGCAGTTTCCCTGCACCTGTCACACAGGGAACGGCAACCTGGGTGCGTGTTCCACCTGCTCCATTGCCACTGGGATATCTGCGTTCAACATGGGGGATTCTTTCAGCTTGTTCCCAACTCATCTGCTATGCCCATTCTCCTCATTTTCTACTTTTTTAAAAATCTAGCCATATGGTCATGTGAGATCAGTTCTCTGTGATTCAGCAGCCAGTCAATAAAACAAAACCAGACAAAGAGACCTAAAAAGAGCCATCATTTCTTCGAAATCCCTATAAAGTAAGTTCTTAAATCTTTGGGATGGATTGGCCCGGGGACAGGACTTAACCTAATCTAAAATAGAAGATTACCTGGGCTTGGTAGCAGCTTTCTGGAAGCTCCAGGTCATTCATGAACATGTAAATTTGCTTTTACATCTGAATATATGCTGGCTTCTAAGGTAGGTCCCAACTTTTTAATTTATAAAGATCCCTTTTTAACATACTATTTTTTTTGCTACTGCCCTCCAACATGATACAAATTATACTTTCCTTTCTGTCAAATCAGAAATATAAACACATGATACATGTGAATTTGAGGTACCCTCACAATCACTCCAAGACTCAGCAGAAATATAAGCTTGCCTGCTGAAATACCTGGCTGTTCAAAGGTTAAACTTTCAGGCAACTAGAATGTGACTGTGTCTAGGACTCGAGAAAACAGATCTGGGTGAGCTTTTTGGAGAATTTCCGTAGAAAGGCTCCAGCTGCTCACACCCCACCTCTGCATCCCATCTTCTGCAGAGCCCATAAAAAGGTGGGCTCTTGAAGGCTGAGAAAGAATCGGGGATCCCAGGGACAGCGGGTCGTCTGGCCCTCCTGTCAGGCTAGGCAGAGCTGACAGCCTTAGCCCACATGGGATGTGACAGAAAGCAGGAAGATGGCACCACATTTGGGGTCTCAGCAAAGGGAAGGCTGAAGTTGCTGAGATGGAGAAGGTGTTGGGGGGGGGACTGAAGGCAGAGGAAGATCATGCCAGGTTCCAAGTATCAAGGAGGAGTGGCGGCCTCCAGGAAGCTGGATGAATGAATTTGAAATCCAGGAGGTTCTGTCAATGATGTTGGACATTTTTTATATTTATATCATAATTTTACCCAGAATTGAGTTTTTATTTTGTATGACATCACGTTGGTCTTTCCCATGTGAATAACAAATTGTCCCAGCATCATTCATTGAATGGCACATCATTTCCCACGGATCTGCCCGTGCTGACCTCAGTCGTCATCAAGATTTCATAGACGTGTTGGTTTCTGGGGTCGTGACCCCGGCCCACCCGCCTTCTGTCAATTGCATCACCACACTGTCCTGATTGCTATACCTGCAGCCATTCGTCAGCCCGTCTCCTACCTTATATTTCTTCTTGCAGATTATCCTGATCCTTTGCTTTCCCATATAAACTTAGACTCATATTACCAAGGTCAACAAATAATGCTGTTAGGATTTTGATTGGGTGGGGGCATTGACTTTGTAATATTGAATCTGTCTATCCAAAATGTGGTATACCTGTTGATTTACCGTAGACCCCCTTATCCACAGTTTTATGGTCCATAGTTTCAGTTACCTGTGGTCAAACATAATCAGAAAATATTAAATGGAAAATTCCAGAAATAAACTGTTGGTAAGTGTTGCAACATGGGCTGCTCTGGGAATGTGATGAAACCTTGGGCTGTCTGGCTCCAGCACTCCTGGACATGAACTATGCCTCTGTCTAGTGGACCCATGCTGGGCATCCTGCCACCCCTTCCTCCCCTCGTAGCCATCTTGGTGTTCAGATTGACTGCCTGATATTATAGTTCTTGGGTTCAAGTCACTGTTACTTGACTGAATAGTGGCTCCAAAGCACAACAGTAGTTATGCTGGTAATTTGGATATTCCAAAAAAAAAAAAAAAAAGGCCATAAAGTGCTTCTGTTAAGTGAAGAGGTGAAAATTCTCCACCTAATAAGGAAAAAATTGTAAAGTGAGATTGCTAAGATCTACAATAAGAACAAATCTTCAATCTGTGGAACTATGAAGCTGGAAAAAGAAATCCATGCCAGTTTTTTTGTCCCACCTCAAACTGCAAAGGTTAAGGCTATGGTGCAGGATAAGTGCTTAGTTATTACGGAAAGGCCTTAAATCTGTAGGCCAAAGACCTGGAGAGAAACACAGTCTGACTCGGTATCGTCCTAGCCTTGCTTCAGGCATCCTCTGGGGAGCTTGAACACATTCCGCTCCTGTAAGGGGACTGCTGGATTTAGGTTTTCCTTAATGTCTTTTAATAATTGACAATTGACCCCATGATGGGCTTGGTTGTTTTGTCAGTTTTACCACTAGGTACTTGATACTTTTTAGCATGAATGTAAATAGCAAAATGTTTCCTAACTGTTCATTACTAGTAAATAAAAGTGCAATTAGTTTTTGTTTAATGCTCTAGTAACCAGCAACTTTAAA